CTGCTTCCAGCATCCTTGCGTCATTAGCCTCAATGATGTCAGCATCAGAAGAAGAAGGCGAATCAAGATCCACCACCACCAGGTCGTGAAAAATAATAGCATTCGCTGCCAAGTAACCACCTTTTAGGACTGTGTGTGCCTCCAATCTAGCCGAAGATCGCACTCCTCTGTGAAATTCCTTCTTACTCTTACTAGACACTGCCCCTTTGCGTCACCTCTGGGCCAAACACTAACTTCTCTGTAGGAGGCAAAGGAGAGTCCACATTGTTAATCACCACTTTCTTTGCTTCACAATGCTTCTTAATTTCCGTCATAACCACTACAAGGGGCACATCTTCCATCCCCATATCCATAACCATATTTTCCACCAAAGCTGATTCATTATCAACATCACTGAGGAAATCAGGGGCATGGCTAGATGGGAAATCAGTAACGGATGGGCCATAGGAGAGACAACTATTGCCAACTCCTCATGGGTCAAAAACTCCTCCTGAAAAACCCCCTGGGGATGAGCATCATCAACAACAGGCCCCTCTTGAATATCGACAACATTAATAGGAGGCTGAAACTCCTTCAGATTATTCTCGATAAGGAATTGGGGCTCATCAGGTTCTGCCATTACAATGGCAAGAGGATCGATAAAAAAAGGGTCAAAACAAAAACGACTCCTCCTCAGTTGCCCCTTTGCTGCCGCCAAACGGGAGAGAAGAGGGTATATCTTTGCGTGAAGGAGGATAACTATCAACAAACAACACTACGCTTTGCCCCCTTTAGTTCTGTGCACCAAGAGTAAAACCAGCGAGAAATGGGCGATGACGCCCTGCAGCTTCCTCTTTCTGAAAAAAAATTCTCAGCCACTGGAAAGAGGTAAGTAGAGGAAGGTTGAGAAGACACAGCCACTTTTATGGTGCAGTCTTCCCCAAAATCTCCTGAGATAATAGCAGATTTCTTGGGAAGAAACCACTCCGCCAAAGTTTCCTTTGTCACGCCATCAAAAGCTAAAATGTGTTGTGAACCAACGGGACCATCGGGAGAATTCAAATCAACAAAATGTGCACGTGAGACATCATCCAAAATCAGTTTTTTGGCGTTGCCAAAACAGAATCCAAAAAAACCGCTTTATTTTTGGTCAAAATGCTAGCACGTTCATTTTTCAATTCCTGTCGCTTACTAATGAATTCTGAAAGTCCCGCAGACTCCATAGGAAACCTTCGCACCGGCCATCGTTTTGAAAATTTGGGAGTTATCTTATTTTAAAATTCAAAATTCCTTGACTTATGCTGGTATCTTCTGAAATGCTTCAAATTTCCAGGGATACCAGTTCCGGCCGATGACTTCCTCTTCACCGGCTCATTTTTTTGAAAATCCTTAAAAATACCTCCATTACCGTTCACAAGCTCAGGATCGCAAACAAATTTCTCAAAACAACAAGAAATTGAAATATCAAAACAGTCATCACCAATAGTCAAGAAGACCTTCTTCGGAATGGGGCCACCTTTAGCTTTCATAATCTTAACTTTCACAGCTTTGCACATTGGACTAAAAAAGGAGTCTCAGTTTAGATCACAGTAAGTCCCAAAACCACCCACAATCCTCTTGATAATAGCCAGATTCCATGCATAGAGAGGGATTCCGCTAAGATCAATCCAAAGTGATTCCTTTTGAAGAAATGAACCATGATCTGAAGGTTTCAATAAATCTAAAGATAACAAACTTCCCCAGATTCTACAAAAACGATTTTGGAGCGCTTTGCACATCTCATCCTTGGATTGAAGTTTAAACACCACTTTGTTTATCCCAATGATCTTAACATCAGGAGTATAGGAAAGGTTCTAACCCCTTTTCGGCCAATCAAACAGACCAAAAAAACCAGAAAATGGGGGGTGAAAAAGATCCAGACACAAAGAACTCCGACTTGATATCTAACTGCGGCCATTCCGATTTATCAATAAACACAGACACTGCATCACCTTGAGAAAACACAACCATCATTCCACTGTATCACCTCATGCCTCATGCATCACCTCATGCTTCTCAAATTCAACTACCAACAAAAAAAAAACACATATTATCTCTTTCTCTCTGACCAAATTCAAAATCTTTTTGGTACAAGTTAAAAAATAGAAAGTATTTTTATCTTGTTATCTATACCACGAATTAAGCTCAAATTTGGTATGTTCATATTTTCAGTATGTAAAAATAAAAATAATAATTTCAAATAATAAAATTATCAAAATATCTCGAAATAATAATTATTTTTCATTCTTGCTATATATATATATTTTTAGGTTTGTGATGATGAGAAGTATAGACATGTCAAATTTGAGCTTAACCAGATATACAACAAGAAAAGTGAAATTAAAATGTACTTAACTGTGGGCATGGATGAAGCCAAGTCCATGTTTGACTGGGACTCGACCTAACTAGGTCTAAGTTAAACCTAGACCGAAGTCGTTTCGAAGCCAATTGGACCACCTGGGTCAGGTCCAAGTAACTCAAACACGACCTATTGTGTCACGTTGGTTCTATGTCTAAAAATGAAAAATAGTAAAGGTTATTTTGTATATTTTAATAGTTAACATTATTTATATTGATTCTATACTAACATATACTGAGTTGGCTTGAGTCGGGTTGACTAGACTCATAACCAAACCTCACCCAATGGTATCCAAGTTGTACTTAGACAAGGATCTGACAAGGGCTAAGTAGAGACTCACACCCCACCCATCATGTCCAGACCTAGACCCTATTGGGTCGAACCCTTGAGCCCACAAATGGTAATGATATATATGATATACAAGAAACTATTTTCAAAGGGTGTGGTTTGTATAAGGTGTTAAACTTAAACAATCCAAATAAGGTGCATGTCCAAAGCTTGTCAAAAGATGTAAAGTTGGCATCATAAGTTTTAATTATGACCAGAAAATCTACTTCACATTTAGTTATGAAATTTAAAGCTAAAAAAATGATATAGATTGAGCATATTTACAAATAAATAAAAATCTTGAGAATGGTCGGTCTAGATAATATACAAGATGTATCATTTTGATGACTTTAAAGTCTTTTTTTCAATATCCACATATCATGTGATCAATTAGAGGACTTTTCAGCATTGAAGCAATATTTTTTAATGAATTTGTGAGGCGCGTCTTTTTTGTGCAGTATAAGATAACAACTTTATACAATCCTTTACTGTTTTTAAATAGGGTTACGTTAGAATGCTCACACTATAGAGCATTTTATAATTGTACTCAACAAATTTTGGATACTTATATACCCTTGTTTTGTACATGGATTATTTTTTTAGTAAGGGAATTTTTGGCCATAAAGAGGGGTAAGACATTATCCACATAAGGTGTGACATGACCCACATAAAGCACATTAGTCGCAATTAATACTCCATATGGGTGATATCACGTCCCATGTGGATGATTTCACACCTATGCTAATGATAAAACATGCATTTCTTAAAAAATGTTATATTATAAAATAATGGTATATAAGTGTCGAAAATTTATTGAGTACAATTATAAAAGAGCAATGATCCAATGCAACAATTGTATCATAGTATAATGCAACGACACTTCTAGAAAACCATGTTTGTGGTATTTGTATGACCTCAAATTTTGCACACACTCTCTTCATCTCAATAATCAATCCCAAAAAAAAAAAATTTTAATTTGAAGCCTAGATATGGTCAAAATAAGTCCCTCTAAAACGAATCTAGACCATTCATTTTGTGAATTTCAAGATCTTAGCCTTTATAAACTCAAAATCAATTTTTTCTTTTTTAACATTGTTCATTTAACGATAATAAAGCCATCCAACAAAATTGGAAATGACAAAATCATTCTAAGGCCTAAATCTAAG